TACAGATATCTACCAAATCAAATTGTGTTTTAATTCTACATTTTTTTTAAACGGGAGACAAAAATTTTAGAACATCAAAGGTGTTTATTGTATACGTAATTCTGTGTACCATCATGACTGTACCAAACTTCCCAGTCTCCAAACGACTTAAATAAGAGATTAGACTAGTTTACATGCGTAAAATTCCAAAGCAAAAGTGGGCTTTTAAATTCTTGGCAGATTCATTTTGTTGAATAATTATCTTAACGGAGACAGGCTTCCCACAGCCAAAAAAGACACGAGAATTTCTAATTATTTCACATTTTAAAAGAAAACTTTTCCGTATACAATATTCATAACTTTGATAAGGTAAATTAAGAACTTCAAAGGAAATTTCATGATGTCAATAAAAGATGGGAATTGTTTCTATTTCCATGCCATTCGGAGCAAAACTATTATCATCATATTTGTTTATTTTATTCCTGGATAAAACAGTAGGTCGCTTCAGCTCACGTTTTCCTTTGAGCGCAAAGTTAGCGCCGTTTAAAACAGCAAAAACCATGACATTATGGTTTTACAGCGTAAATAATCAAAAGTTAAGCCTTTTATTATGGGGATCTTTAATATTTCTTTTTATCATCTCTCGTTTGTGACCTAGTCCATAAATTTTATTCGCAATCTGTTGTTTCTGAAGCAGACGACATTGCTGAGGCTATAAGTAAACAAAATGTTGCGTCTGAAGGCAGAAATCAAAGAGAAAGCGTAAATTTTTATAACGAGCAAGTGTATAAAATGTTATGTATCGTGCACACCTTGTATTAGTAAACACGAGAAGAAACGATTTTTGTGTAAACAATAGGAACATTAATTTTATAGACCACGTTGGAAGGCGAGTATAAAACGGGTTTTATCTGGGTGAGATTTCAGTTTTATAGATCTAAAATCGCTGGTATCCGATGAAAACGTCGATTATCTATAGCTCAATATAATGTGGAGATGTGCTGAAAACCTTTATCATTTACTGTTTCGTACTTTAATGAAAGCTGCATGCCTCCAGATGAGACAAAAAAAAATAAAAAATGAAACTAAAGAAAAATATAGACTCTATTCAGATTTTCAGAAAAGTAAGAAGATTCAAGTTATAATTCACATGTGATGTGCTAATAAAGGCTGATTTTTTTCTCATTTTTTATCATCATATTTCTACTGCGTGACTAACGCAGTAAGGGCGTTTTTTAAACCTCTTTTTAGTAATTATTACGTTTATAATTTGTATTTTACTTTCTTTGTTCACTTCACTATTTATTTATTTTTTAAATACATTTTCAAAATTTTCATGCGCATTAGCATATTTTTGGAGGCATGCTGCTTTAAAAGAAAATTCATCTTAAAAATTAATGATTTTCATTCATTTCCTTATACCTTATAATACTTTGACGTCATCAACAAAGCACCATTCTGATTCTTGTGACGTCATATATTTCTTCAAAAAAGAAACCGGCAATCATCATCATCATCATTATCATTTATCATCATTCATCATCATTAAAAAAAATGTTTGTTAAATGATTGAATTACATAGACAGATAGTCTGGGTATAGGTATCAATGTTTAAATAAATCTGATAATAGTTTGTATATACTATCGACATATGCCATAGAGGGTTTGATTGTTATATCACCAAGTTTGATCGGGATCGTTGACACATCAATAATACAGTTTATTAAACCTTGATGAAGATCGGTTAAAGAAATGACTGGAGTGTTTTCACCAGTTTTACATTGTGGTTTTAATTTCTTTATGAATGCGATTACATCAGACGACACCTTGTTTTAATATCAGTCTTTAAAATCTCAATGCCTTAAAAGCGGCACAATTAATTTTTCACGAAATTTGACACTTTAATAAGACATGTTTTTGACAGGCGCAGTAGGTAAAAATCTATCTACATTCTGCAAATCAATAAATGTTTGACATTGTAGCCTTATAATTTAGTTATAATTATTTTTCTTAAATTGTGATTTAAATTTAACGATTTGTGGTTTAAAATCAGATCAAATGCACGTATCAATTTTGCGTTTGAATTAAACTTTAAAAACCCAGGCCATTTTTTGATAAACTATTCTTAGTAAATTAACCTATTGAAGAAATATCAGAACTAGAAGTAGGGGAAAATTTATAGTCAAATTTATGAGTTGATTGCTTAAGGCCCAGTAAAAGAGGAAAGAACGATGGTCTTTTCTTCTTCTTTTTTTCTCGTTGTGTGTGTTGTTAAAGAAACCCCAAAATATAATCAGTAGGGAGCGTGTCTCTATTAATAAACCCGACACATTCCAGCAGCCCATTTAAGTCCCAAGTCGCGACTTTATAATCCCTCTAACCGGCCGACCTAATCCGCTATTGTGTTTTGCACCTTTGGCGCCGCAGAAATCAGAGGGGAATCCGTATTGTGAACTTCTTATGTAACAATCTTTACTATCTTCAAAATAACAAGTTATAATTGATGTTTTATCCACTTTCTTTCTTACTTGATCTGCGATAATTTCTACCTATGAGGGATGTTTTCATTTCTGATCAGGATCGATCACAGATCGATCATTGTTTTTCCGATAATAAAGATCAATCATGACAATAGTGGGTGGGGTATGGAAACGTGTGGTTTACTTTTAAACATGGCCCCTGGGGTCCTTCTGCATCTCAACACCATAAACATCATTTATCAAATCACGTTAGTGTTGATTTGTTCCAGACGTTAAACCTGTTAGAATTGTTGTTTTACTCCGCGGACTATTTACTTTACAAATTTGCAATGCGTGGCGTAATATGACAAAACAAATATAAGCGTACAAAAGAAATGACAAAATATTGTACCTGAGGTCTTACACTGTTTTGACAATGTTTATAATCTTTGATGGAAAAATAAACACGAAAACAAAATTTCTCGGAAAAATCATTGAACATATATCAATTATAAAAGTTTTATTGATATACATAAATGCATTTATTCTGTCTCAATTTGTATGAAATATTAAATATTTCGGACTCTTTTACAGATTGTTCGTCGTTGTTTCATGACACCAATATCTAAGAGAGAAAAAATATTTCAACACTATGATAATTTCACAATACTGCATTGTTGTTGATAATGATAACGTCAGAGTAAGGAAGATAAGATTTTTGTCTAAGACGTTGTTTACTAATAATGGGCTGGTGACAACATTTTTTTTACAATATTTACGTGTCATCAAGTTAATTTCATATCTCATCACTAAAATAATCACTGATTTTAATCATCTACCGTGTAATTTCTTGTTTCTAAATCAAACGGAAGTTGTATAAGTGTCATGAAATCTAAATAAAGCACTGTCCACTGATATTGTGTTGTGTGCGCATGCGCTACTGAAACAGCGTGATCGATATGGCACCGCGTTCTGCAATTCCACCAATATCGCACGGAAGTAACAAACCGTTAGAGATATCATGTGTGACATTTAACGTCAATATTTCTTATAATAAACATGATGTCAAGTTTTATATAATGTGTAACAGCTAAAAAAATTATTTTTAGTCTCAGTTTAATAAATTTGTATTTATTCTGGGACATTATATACATTATTATCCAGATATATTAAAAATATGAAGAATTTCATGTAATATACATAACGCACGCAGTATAAATATACTTTTCTTTGAAGGAATATTGCAAATTAAATGTAACCTTGGATATTCTTTTTGTTAAAATATCATAATTAAATTTCTTAAATATATATCCACATTTCAGTTCATTTCGTTATTCTTTATGCAAGACCCATATCATATCATACTTTTAAAAGATAATATAAATGTTTGCACTGTGCTTTTCGTGCCGGTTCGAACCGTGATACCCACAACGCTACTGTGGCGCCATTTCTAGCCGCTTGTTTCAATCAACCGAACGTTGTGAACACCAAACGTGACACCTACCGCCACACTGTCTAAGAACATGTTCGCTCAAGCCCCGCCCCCTAATCAAGTACGTCCCTACTTTAATACATATAGCTTTCATTAGTATGATTATTTTCTTGTGTGCTAATTTCATGTCAAATTAACCGATGTTGCAACCACTTGCTAAATAATTTTGTAATTGATACCTATTTGTGATTCAAATTATACGGAGTATTTTTTTATTCAGCAAGTTTGCTTGATTAGTCTCTATCAATAATGGGATACATGGAAGTGCAACTGTAAGAGTGAGACAACAAAATTTATGATATTCAGTGTTATTAATTAAATCAAAGTTTATCTTACATATCACAAAGGACTTATATTCTTGGAAATTATAAATATATTCATACAGAAATTTAATAATGGATTGGTAAGTGGAATTATAACTATATAAATATATAAAACATTCACTATTTAAACATATATGCATATCTTCATGATATATAGAATTCATTTTTAATTTCATTTGTTGTTTTCTTCTCTCTTGCAAAATGTTCCGACATGAAATATTTTAAGCTGTTTTCAGACATGTCGTAAAACTATAAATTTTAATATTTCTGGGGTATAAGATATAAGATATACTTGATTGGCAAAATGGAATATATTGTATATTTCTGAAGGGAAAACTATACTCTTTTTTACTAATTTTCATCATATAAACGATATGTATTAAGAATATGCTATAGAGAATTTACGTATATGTGTATGTTTTGTTTATTTTTCTAATTCATATTTCCAAATCAACGAAATTCTGCACAATACAGATTTTTTCTTAACTCCGCCCTACATTCCCGCCTACTTTTATCATCATTGGTTATGATTTGATGTTCGCTGACAGTTTGACAACATTTTACGACTATCTGACAAGACCGCGCACTCGACAGTATGATTGATAGCGCGAGACTATTTGCATATTTAAATTACGTCCCGCCTTTTCTCTACACTGATTGGCCAATAACTGTACATCGACCAACCGCATGAAAGCCAATTAGTGTCGAATTACAAGAAAACAAATATGCTAATCGCATACGTGTTAGAGTAGCGCTTTGGAAAATAACGCAAATTCTATCTGGTCGTTATAGAAAGCATACATGTTTTGTGAATTCTGTGTTTTGTATATTCACTGTAGGTGTGGTTTGAAAAGGACACTTAGAAAGGATTTAAACTAAATGGACTAAACTTGTTGAAATAATTTTAAGTTTTATTCCGCGCGGCTTAATATATATTGTGCACTGATAATAATAACAATTAAACATAACATTAGAAAACAATAGATGCATTTGAATAAGACATATTGTGATTTGTGACAGATAACTTAAGAGTTATTTAAATAATTTTAGGACATCATCATATATGAAATCTTTAAAATTTACCAATGATCTTCCCAGGAAGTAATTCAGAATCAAGCCAAATGGCTTATAATCCATTTCTACTCCACAGGCCTTCTGACTATAGCGGCATGAACTCGCTGCTGGCCGCACAAGCCAACTATTTACCAGGCCTAGCTGGATTTCAACACCCGGGACTTGCAAGTTCATTTTCCAAGCTGCAACAGAGCATGGGCAGGTCTCCACTTACCCCTGCGGATTTATTAGGACCTTACCAACACTTGAGGCCGATAAGGAGTCTCGAACCTCCAGAGTCTGAGGTGCAAGATGATCCTAAAGTAGAACTGGAAGGCAAAGATCTGTGGGAACAATTCAATAATTTGGGAACTGAAATGGTCATCACAAAATCTGGACGGTAAGTAAACAAAACTAACAAACTTTAATTATGTTAATAGTTATGTTACACCAACCAAAGTCCTGTAATCAATGGCATTTTTTGTAAGGATATATCTACATTAGTAAAGTATTATTTTCTTAAAAAGTTTATGAACCTGTATTTCTGCTAAAAGAACCATACATACATTTTAAATAGATGATATGATATGATATAAATAACAAGTGAGTCAAGTTAAAGGGTGTTTCCTTTATAAATAATTATAGAACTTACAAGTATAACTATGAAAATATGTGAAGAACTTCATATGAAATATTTATTTTTAGTATATTTATTTTTTACAAATGTATCTGAAGAGCAATTGGAAGAAAATTATATGCTAGCTGATAATATATTTAAAAAATATGATAAATACTAAAACAAAAGTATATTCCATATTTGTACTTCAAAAATTATTAGTGGAATTAATTAAATTATGTATAATCATTCTATATTAATATTAAAAATATTTCTTTAGTGCAAAACTCGTTTTTAATAAAATAACACATATTTTAACAATGTGTTTTAATATTTAGATAGGGTTGTAGCTTTGAAAGTCTATTTTGTTAAGAACAGGACAGAACAGAAACTTTATTTCAGACTTGTACAAAGAACATCATCATACAAAATATAATTTATTCAAATATATCTTAATTTCATTAAGAATGAGAGACAAAATACATATTTCAAAGAAAATTATTACATAAAAATGTAAGTGCAGTTACTTGATAAGAAATAATGACAAAATACTAAATGATGGGGAATAATGAACTCAAAGTTGTTCTGAAAATTACAAGGTGCAATTATTAAATTAAGTTATAACTATTTTTCATTTATTTTAATTCAAATTATAGGAATGATTGTCATAATAAAAATATATATATTTCTATAAAAAATATCAGCAATATTAAAACACAGACATATAATATCCCTGCACATATAATAATTTATACTCCTCCAAAATTTACCTCAGTGATTTGATTTCATTTGAAGAATATTAAGATTTATTTTTGGACAGTAAGCGGAATGATATATTTTTTAAAAAAAGCAACAGAAAAAAGCAATTTATTCACTTGTATTAAAAATAATGATTTATTTTTAAGAAGGTTATTCTCTTAACATAGCAATGGGAAAAGAAAACGTTACTTTTCAACCTAAAATATTAAAAAGTACTAAGAAAAACTGACTTCAATGAGACATAAAAAAAAACACGGATGCAAGCTTTGAAAGAGTTGAGATTGTTAAACTACAAACACATCATGTGTATCAAAGATTTTTATCAAATAATTTTAACGTCAAACCATTAGTATTTTCACACATTTTATTTTGTCATAGCTTCAGATTAAGCGTCTAAAACGACCACCAAGGCAGTATTTTATTTCTCACTCGGAGGGTTTCCATTTTTTTCAGATAGCTTCTGATAAGCCTTTTCGGCAGACCCCTGTCTGACGCCCTAGAATTCTCTCTATTCCAATCGTGGCGTAGACGCCGGATAAACATTAAATAATGATCTAGCGCCATTTCTCAACGCGTTCACACCTCTGCGAAGATATTTCTCTTTAAATGTTTTATATGATTTAATCGTAAGCCATCAAAATATACATATCTAAATTAAAAACATATTTACGGTATCGCTAGAATGTTTAGAAGCTCGCCAAAGTGTCGGTTTTCGACGCTGGAGAAAGCCTGTTAGCGCCGCTCTATCACGGGGGGATCTTGTAGAATCATTCTAACGCATTAAAGGCAATTTAAAAACACTAAACTGGAGGCTGATTTTGTCTAATCCCAACAAGACTTCGCGAGACAGTTTTTCTGTTATTTTTGATATTGCGTATTTTCAGAGTTGTTTGATGAAACTATGAACAAATGTTTGGCGCTGATATGCTTAAGAAAATTGCCTCGACATCAGCTTTTCATGTGAATATCTTTAAAAATGGGTAGCTTTAATCAGATTTAAGCTAATTGGTAATTCCAAACTATTTGAATCATTTCAAAAGCTTTTCTCAGAAATGTTAAATATTTTCTACAGATTTTATATAAAGAGAAATAATAAAGCATTGTTGGTTTTTAATGATTCTTTTTCTTTACAAAATATTGACAAATATGTGCACAAACTGTTTACAAATTTAAAAATAATAATATATTATCAATACATTAAGAACATTACAGGAATTGATATTAATTTCTTGTAGATTTAATTTTGTTCTGTTTCTCTGGATTTTAATATTGCATATTTTAATGTAACAATTAGGAATATAGTTTGAACAAAATTGTTGAAACATTCACAACGTAAAGGAAAGGGAGAAAATAATAATCGTGAACCAAAACTATTATTATTCTCAGCATCCCAACAATCTGATAATATAGACGGCCCTTTTTTCTTATTTTCTCCCTCAAACCCCGTCAGCTAAAATTGATGAGGAGGGTGATAAGATTAGGTTTCTCAACTTCAAAGAAACGTTTCGCGTAATTCCTAAACCGACGAATGATACTATCGAAATTGTGCTCGATTTCACACCTTTTTAAAATGTATGCACTGTTCCTGTTAAACGAACATGTGGTTCTTTTTTGCAACATGCTGTGCTTATAGAATTGTGGGGGTGAAAAATGTAATCATACTCATCTTAGGACCACAAAAAATCATTTAATTTCCGACATTCATGGATTTCTAAAGAAGAAGAAAGTCCCGTCTCTGTTAATTCCTGTAATAACAATCAGACAACTTTTTATATGCATTGAAATATTAAAAACAGTGTTGTTTTTTTATTGTTTTCTTCAAGGAATATTGATGAATTAAAGATATATCATACTAATATAATAATAAGAACCTCGTACATCATACATGAATATTGCAAATTCTTTTTATCATAAGTAATTTATTTTCATTGATAGGAATATACTCTTTAGGATCACAGAATTGTTGGTTTATAGTACGATTTACGCTTAATATCTTATTATTAACGATCGAGTAACACTGTCTACTGTATAAGACTATTTATCTTACAAAATAATACCTATTAGCTAACTGGAGATAGGTATTTCAATGCTTATAAATATACGATTAATTACGCTAATTTGCGTTTAACCAAAATTAACGCCAAGTTTTACACTACGTTACACACAAGGCGACAAATGGATGGAATTTTGTAAATTTTACGCAAGAAATAAAAACGAGAGTGGCATTGTTTTTGTTAGCAATTATAGAATAGCATTAAAGCCGATTTACCGACTTTAATTTTACAGGGTGCCCGTCGCGACGAGATTTTTCAGCGCGTTCACAAAATACCATGATTTAACAACACTGATTATATACTTAAAGATAGTAGAAAAACACGTGTTTAAACACGATTAGTAAAACCCCAGTCCCAATCTTCTATTTTAATTACATTTTTAGCAGAAGCTGTAGTTAATTAAACATCTTTTTGTGTTAATTTTTGTCTTTATTTTCAAATTTTGAATCAGCTTATGTACGTTATAGAATACAAGTAATCTATAAAATACAAATAACTTTCAAATACTAGTATATCATACAATTGAAATAGATGTTTTGTAGATATTAATTCGATCATATTTCTTGGCGACTTGTAAACTAAAACAGTGGGAATTTTCTCAGAAAGGGGTGCCACATTTATGGCCTACTATCACATGAAGGGTTCTATTGTGCAGCCACTTTAATAACCATATCTACTATTTATCCACTTATTTAGTATACCAGAAATTGTACTTGTCTGTAATAAATTAATTATTTCGTCTGAGGTATCAGCAAGAACTAGACGCTTTTTATTTATTCATTAATTATCATTAATTATGTATGCAAATAAATTGCGCCGACTTGCAGTTTAATAGTGGTAGTAAATTCATATAGTTAAAGCCCCCCTTAAGACTTCTGGCACCTAAGACTATAATATCTAATATATAACATTATACTTTCATAACATAAATGTCAGAAACTAAAGATAAACATTTTAGGATATGAAAAACGCTGATTTGAATAATGTACATGGGCACATTTTGAAATCATATTCTCTTCTACAATAAAAATATTTGTTTAAATATTATTAATCAATTTCATTTATGATAATAGATTTATTTTATAAGCATAATTCCCCAATCATTTCAAATATTATAGATAAATGTAGTGCAATAGATTTCTTCTTTTTTTCCTCCCTATACATTCCTGTAAAGTCTAGATAGCTCTTGAAAAGAGACCCCTTATCTATTTTCACTGTCACTAATATCGGTATCATTTCGGATTAAGCTCTGATCCCATGATACAAAACAGATAAATTCGTTACAGAAATCCCTTAATTTTAATTCGGAGTTGCTCGGCTGTTATCACTGACACGAATTAGACCAGCCCGAATTGACACGAATTCTGCTAATTCACTGTACACAATCAGAAAATTTTATAGACTCGAACGAGTAAATAAAATCGGTCTTATCAGATGTCCGGATTCTGTTCGAATCATTAGAGATTTACTCAAATTAAATCAAATTAAAATGATGTAACTGCACAGAATCTTTAAACTTTCTATAATGCGAGTAATTCTTACTAGTTTGTAAATATTATGACACCGTCTAGTTTTAAACTGAAATTTAAATTCAATGATTAAATAAAGATAAAGTATGGAAATAGCTAATAAATATTTATCATTTAACATTTAAAAGCGTTGGTGTAACATGAAAAGTTTGAAATTTTATTTTTGATATGTATAATTGATTTATTTAGTATCCCATAGGTAAAGACTTCATTCGCTAATGATGATGATAAATAGAGTAAACCGGAAATATTTTAAGAAAAAAAAATCTGATATAAATTTATATTCACGCCAGTTCATTCTCGTCTCCGCCGTTATCTACTTTTACCAAACGACAAATTTTCTGGTCGGCGTCTGTAGACAGTGAAATAAATACCGTATCTCGGTTTCTGTCATTCACAGAGAAGTTCAAAGACTAAAATACACACCTTATATATACATTGGGATTATTTATCTAGTCTTAGAGGACTACTTTTCCCCGTAGTGTAAGAATCTGCACGCTAAAACAAAGAATAATCAAACAAGAAACACTTTCATGACGTTTCATAGTGTCACATATTAATTATTTCAAGTGGGCTTAAAGACGCCTATGTTTATTTAGAAAACGCATACGAGTCCCGAGTTTTAATAGATCTAAATAAGCAGACGATATGTCAACAACTTAAATCATGACGCAGGGCGGAGAGAGAGAAAACTACTTAACAAAAACATTAGCAGACGACAAAATTATCATGGCGAAAAATAATGTTGTAACTGCTAAGTAATTAATAAATCATTCACCTGTGTTTTAAGAATTTTTAATTGCATTGTCCACTTAATTTGGTATAAGCTACAAAATGAAACATTAAAAATTTAACAATTTTAACCGAAACATACGAAATACATCAAAATTGCATTACCATAACACAATTACGCGTCAGAAACACTGTCGACAAAACATGTAACGTAAGTGTGTTACAAAGTTTACTCCTACTATATCTTAAAGCATAGCAAGAAATTACAACCTTCTCTTTACGATTTATTTAAAAAAAATATTCATTCATTCATTGCAGACGAATGTTCCCGCCATACAAAGTGCGCGTGACTGGTTTGGACAAACGCGCTAAATATATACTTCTTATGGATACTGTAGCTGTTGACGACTGCAGATACAAATTTCACAACTCAAGATGGATGGTCGCCGGGAAAGCTGATCCGGAAATGCCAAAACGCATGTACATTCATCCGGACTCTCCCAGCACCGGAGAGCAATGGATGCAAAAGGTCGTGTCCTTCCATAAGCTGAAGCTAACCAACAACATCTCGGACAAGCATGGCTTCGTAAGTGTCAGTATCAAACATTTTAAGTATAACACGGAGGCTCTAACTTATTTTCTCATGGAACTGGAAAGACAATTTTTTTAGACTGCAATATTTCACATTTTCCCAGCCATTTTTTAGAATCTGTAAGACCTTAGGACTTAAAATTTTAAGTCCGAGATAAGGCAAACACATAGTAAAGAATTTTTTCCCAATAGAATACAAAGTTTGTGTGAAGACTTGATATTAAATTCTCAAATATTATTTTACAGCGGTATTAAAAGTTGAATTACAATGTAGAAAAACCTCATTTCCGTACAAAATCTTTAGAGCCTCTTAGAATTGTATATAGTTTAGATTGAGCTGTTTATTGTATAAAAATGTATTATCTTTCTTTTGTTTGAGGTACGATATTCAATGTTGTAATTGAGGAATAATTCTACATTTATGGCAGTTTCTATTTCGACATATACTTGATAATTTCTTTAATCGTGGCAAATACGGAGAAAATTCAAGTGTTCCAAAGTAATAAATTTCTAGCCCGACTAGCGGCGCCATATTGTACTGACATAATGTCGTTTGGTGAAGAAGAGAGATTGTAAATTATTCAACTAACGGTAGCTGTGTATCTATGTAGTGTATGCGTTCTTGCTTAATACTAATGGGTAGCACTTGAAATCTAATTTCATGTAATTGCTACGAAAGACATATTGTCTGTAACTCGGAGGAAGTAGGGAGCAATCCTACAGTTGAAGGGCTTAGAGATTATTGTACTTCACAGTTGACACTCTTGAGAAAAAAGCACGAATCAAGAATCAGTATTTGTATCGTCTGCTAAGATTCCCTTCTCTCTTAAACTGTTATTTCTTTTTATGTTAATTGTATGTAAGACCTTGTCTGACATATAATTCGCCTACCTAATCAATTGATAATTACGCTACATACTTTGATGGTAGAAAAAAAATTCTGAAGATTTCTAAGGGGAGAAAAAAAATCTTGTTACAGAAAAGCATGAAAATATTTTTCCCTATGCAATGCACTTGTGGATGGGGTATTAGAGAATACTGATATAAATTAAATGCCAGTTGTAAAACTGTTGTTATTACATCGCCAGAAGACCGAGCTGCATCTGGAATCAAAATTACAAGGTAAAACACTTGTAATCGCCTGGTCGCGTTTCAACCTCGTGACTCTTCATTCAGAAGGTATAAAAGAAACACGTTACAAGCAGCTGGTGGACCATGATTTGTGATTATCACTAAAATAATAACGACTACTCCTGAAAAATAATTATTGTCGTCGTTGTCATCATATTGAATAGAAAACATTTATAGGAATCATCAGATTACTGCAAAAGCCAGCTGCATATTGTATAAACTCGTGTTCTCTATTAGTGTAATATAAAAATATAACAAGCATAATTTATACTTTCTTGAAAAAAGGAAAAAGTTACATCGCCTGAAGAGTGATAATTTGTTAAATCACCAACAAAGCTTTTAAAATAAGTAGCGCACGTTCTGATAGGTGTAAAGTATCAAGCCTTGTTTTTTGCCTATAACCTGAAGGTGGGTTCGGTGCTTTTGAAGTCAGTGAATGGCTATTTGTCATGTTATATAAACTGTTATGAAAAAAACTAAGGTACACCATGTCCACTCAGTGCATGCTGATTGCTTTTTGATGGCCTATAAAACACTTATTATTTAAGGAACAGCAAAGTTGTAATAGTTGTATATAAAGTATATAAGTACTTTAATTTATTTATAAATATATTTATATAGATATATCAAAATCACAGGCCTTGTAAACATATATAGCAGGATTGTTTAGGTTGTTACAACTTGCAGTTGAGATTAAAAAAAGAACACCATTTGTTAGTTAATAACTTATTTTAGTAATATTTTTTTTTGGTTTTTATTGTTTTTCTTTTTTAGTTAATTCGACTGTAATGCTTTAAATGTTGTTGTTTATTTTCAAATGTTTTCAAGTGTGCTAGAGGAAAATATCTTTTGCTATTTAAGTGTAAATTTCCATTGACTGGTGATTCGAACTTTTAACGTTACCCTTACACCGTTAGACAATGCATAATTACTTTAAAATCCATTTTCAGTAATATCATTTTTTCGGTGTTGTGCGTAGTTTGAAATATCTTTTACAAGGTAACATATTGTGTTACGTTAATTCACCCAATACGTGGGATCATGAATGGAAAACAACGGTCTTAAGGAAAAAAGATTTAAAAGCATTTTTGGAAACTGAACCGAAAAAAACAAGATAAGATCGGCAAAGGTGAATTTGATAATAGTTTGAATGTGTGAAAGTACAAAGCATATGTCAAATTATTTCAATAGAAATTATAAATTTAAACTGTACAGCTATGCTAAAGTTTCATAAAGTTTAAAAGATTTATTTGGTACGACATGCAAGCTTATTTGGCAAAATAGGAAGTCAACATGCACGTATTAATTATCACAATAATATCATGTTTAATAGAAAAGATTTTTAGTGAAGATCAAAAGTGTTAAAATATTCTAATTTTGAATTTTAGAAAATAATTTTCTTAACTAAAACAAATTAATAACAAAACAGCTTTATGTGAATTGAAGTTATAAAATACAAAATATATCTAAAGCATTTGATATTATAGCACCATAACATGAAGAAAATTCTTTATTTGTTTGCAAGGTTAATAAATATTTATTCAAGAAAATTTCGTGAACACTTTAAGACTTTATTTTTGAATTCTGGTGATTTACAAAAAGGTGAATATTCTATTATAGCACTAAACATATTTTATAGGTGTATCAATTGACAATTTAGGAAGAAATTGTATGTTTTATTCGTGTATGGAATGTTGCCGTGAGATAAGATAAAATATCAAGGCGTTAGGGAAGTCATTCGGTACAGTTAACATTCAGTTATAATATAAACTGCAAGGCTATGTCCTTTTTCGCTTCACTTAGTTCTTTTTACATGACTTCGTGGAGAAAATCTCTCACCACATTTTTAACTATTTGTGTAAAATTTATCAACGTCAGAGGCAGAATTTTTTTTTATATATTTTGTTTGTTTTAATATCATTTAAATTTTTCTTAATCACGAATTTTTTATTTAAATTCTAATGATATCTTTAAGATTTAAATTTCTTTAGTTGTAAAAAATACAAACGATTATAGATACTATGCAGTGGTACTCTAGACCAAACTCTGTTGTTTGATGCATTAGGGGAAAACGATTATTATTGGTGAAAAGTATTTTCTCATCAAAAAAGAGTAATTAAATGATAAAATCTGTTAGTTCTGTGATTTTCAACCTTCTAGTGAAGATCTCACATGCACAGCGTTCAGAAATAAAAAAAATAATTTCTTTTCTCGTTACAAATTCTTTTGATTTTTACTCTTTAAGTAAATCTCAAATCGACAAAAGACAACCGCGCAAATTAATTATGGCAAAATATAACGGTCTTTCCGTTGAAAAAAAAGAACGACTTTAAACGAAAAGGGTGTAAACAGGAACATATCGTTAAAGCTGAGCTATTGAAATATTTATAATCGTAAAAGAAAAAAATGAAACATTTAAACTAAGTGGGGGATAATACGAGATAGCTTTTGAGTGTTATGTAATGCGTTTTTAATTACAACGGCGACACGATTAATCCACTAAAGTGATAATTCTTACATATTAAAGATAATAAAGTTCTTTATATCTCAAGTCAGACTGTGGAAAAAAAAGAACACATGTGTGTTTGTTAATGGTAGTAAAGCTAGGTTTATACTACAGAAAATATACTTCGCTTCAAAGACATTATAATGATAGTATTTAAAAAAAATAAGTTGTTATTATAATTATTCTGCATGAAATAAAAAGTCAAATTCTGTGCTCTTCAATATTGGAGGAATAAAAATATTATTAGTCCAAAGGCAAATCAGAAAACAAATCTGCATTACAGTTCATTGTACAAAATATTAATCTTTAACCCCACAATTTGTTTCTCTAATTCAAAAATATCACATTCTAGTATTAATAAAAAATATCAATTACACTCAAACATTTATTTCACCGTTTATAATTAACGAAATAATTAAATGTTGATCGTTTAATAGTCTTGAAATTACAAAATTACTTTGTTTTTCATTTATTTTTTTAGATAGAGCTATGATACCGAAAAACACTACAAAATAATAAAATAATATGATATTTAAATCCTTTCAAAGTTGAAACATATGATAAAGGGTTGTAAACGTGTTAACGAAACGCAGCTTCACTTTTCCTTTTAATTGTATTAAAATATATTTTTGTTATTTGTATAAAATGCACTGTTGTTAATATAAACATTGCACTGTTATAAATATAAAAATGCACTGTTATTAATTTAAAAATGAAGTTATAATATGAAGCTATAATATAAAAATTCACTGTTATGAATATAAAAATGCAATTTCTACATATAGAAATGATATTTTTGTATCACAATTGTTATACAAATATATGTACTGGTCCCCGTCTAAACTTCAACTTGTTTCTAAACATACTAAAGACCGTACCATAAACGTCATGTTATTTTACATATTAAACTGACATATTACATATCTGTACAAAGTAGATGGCTACTTCTTGACCACTTGTGTGTATTTCGGCCAATGACCAAAATGATATAGTGTTTAGCAAGGACTTTTGAACATCTCCTGTCGAAAAGGACGCCATCGTGACGATTTCACGAGGTAACTTGCCGCGCGCGAGGCAAAAAAATCGCACATTCACTGTTAACATAATGACTCGACGAGACAAGAATTTCTTATATTTTGGCAAGTTTACGAAGGGTTAGTGCATATTCTATAACCGCGGACCTATCTTGATGGAAATAGTCACAGTTTTTCACATTTTATTCATCAAAAGTTACTAATTACGAAATTTGGTGTCAAAAAATTAATTACAAACAATCTTTCTAAATCATTTTAATGACACATTCAGGTGACAAATTACCTAGGTGTTCATGAAGAAAAAAATACGTTCAAAATAATTACAACTTACAAAAACGTTCTTTCCCCCTTATTTTAAGTAAACATTTATTTTAAGTAGAATAATTTGACCTTTAAAAGATGAAACAAAAATACAAGAAAATATAAATAAAAGAAGAATAAGAAGAATCTGCGGCCTGCTTTCAACACGTAAAAGTAACCGAGTCTTTGATGGCTATTGAAACAATCCCCCCTAAAGAAATCAGAATGGAACCAGCATTCCATTATTTATCTCTTACACTGAGAATTATTTCTCTCTCGCACCAATCTATTTGAATTAAGGATTTCCCTCTTGTACGTTCCCAATGAGAAATTTTAATATGCGGACATTTTATAATTATGTATTTATCTTCATGAACTTAATTCCAGGTAGAGATTCATGTGCGTGTTTTATAGCGGCCTTAAAGCGTAGCAGAATTGTTCAAAAATCTGATCAAACTTTGTTACAATATTCATAAACTGGTGTATAAAACCCGTGTCTCTGTTCACACAGTCATATATTAATCGTGCTCTGAGTGAAATATTTCACATTAAATGCATAGCTCCGGGACATTCTGATATTAGAAATTTGCTGATACGTGGCAATTCCCACTTAGTAGCACACATACGTTATATCCCTACAGATTCATATTAATTAGATTTTCCCACTATTTCAAATTCACGTACGTTTATATAATATGGCCGCAGATCGACCATAAGCCGCAAAGTAGCGTAAAAATGAAAGCGCCGTATAAAGATAGTCATAAGCCGTAGTAAAACTCCAAAATCGAAAGTGACTTGATATAGAAGTAATTCGGGCTTGAAATAGGATTGGATAAGAACTGGCGCCAACCGGACAAGTGATATTCACAAGAATACCGTTATCATGATTAAAATCAGAATGGAAAACCCTATAGGCGAATAGTGAGCTTAATTCTCCCCGCTCTTTTGTCTTTTTCGTGTTTTTCAGCGGTACTGGAATCAAGTCGTCAATGTGAATTAAACGCTTGGTAAATAATACAACTTAAAATCGCCGGGATACCAAGAAAACAAGCTTTGACAAGATACAGACGAATTAAATTGCGATATATTTCCAATGCATTTAAAATTGTTTGATGAAAAAAATCTCGTAGAAACAACGGATGAAATAACCCGGAAATAATGTCATCTTCTGCTAAAACTGACAGCTGCGCGATCGTTTGGTTTCGTATCATTTTCGGCATCAGAAGTAATTTCTCGCATAACTTCAGGCTGTCAAAATTATTACATCAAGTTTTAAGCAGACGACATAAATGGATCAAGCTGCAAAGTATATCTAAGTCATCAAATTTCGATGCCATTCGAAAATAAATAATGCATTTGTAACAGAAAATGTTTGATAAATTGTTGAGGTTTCTCTCCAGAGACCGTTTGTCCTACACCTTCTTGCAGCAGATCCCAATATAGATTGCTATCTAGAAGCTTTCTGCAAGACTTGTTCTAATAGCATCTTAGATTCTGATTAAAAAACCTTTTTTGCTGATTTGTCATGATTGTAATTTATATAATGAGACAAAAAAGGGAGCAATGACGTCACAAATTTGACGCTCACACGAAGAAATTGCAGAAGAGAAAACAAGACATCAAAGAAACTGTACGGGCATACTGCAGCATTATGTGTTTTAAATATGAAATAAGAGACTATATCTTGATGAATTTCCGAGTCGTTTTGACTAAATTTCTGACAAAAAGTTCTCCCAAAAAAACCTTTGTGAAGGAAATTTATACCAGATATTTGATAACCCGTTGCTAATAGCACGCAATATCTGATCCAGAGCGCGCAGTTTCGTATTTTATGGCGCCAAAGTGAGGCTTATTTGATTCCGTTCCACTGGGCTTGCATTAATTGGGTTTAAATCAAATAAGTTGAAGGATTCGATCATATGCGCACAAAATGCCTGATAATTTTGAAACAATATAAATCACGCTCTGAATCATGCGTTCAACTTGTCAAAATCTCAAAATACACCAATTTAACTATGTAATATCATTTTGTTTAACATTTCAGAGGGGAAATGAAATCTATATCAATTTTAGCTGGCTGTTAGACATAAGCTTGCCTAGTTGTTATGTAATGATAATATATGTGTTTTCTTTTTCTCAATTGCAGACGATACTAAACTCCATGCACAAATATCAGCCTCGTTTTCATCTAGTCCGAGCAAACGACATTCTGAAGTTGCCATACAGTGCTTTCCGCACATACGTGTTCAAAGAAACCCAGTTCATTGCTGTTACAGCTTATCAAAATGAAAAGGTAAACTACAAATATATTTTTTTCTCATGTTCATACTTAAAGTTCCTCTGCTTACTAAATAGGCTATCAGCGAGACTTTCATTTACATATAATGATGTATAAAGTTAAGTTTATGCGAGTTAAAACTTTTCACAAAATATCTGTTTTCATTCTTGAACAAAGCTGTAATTTTCTTACCATGAATGTGTATAAAGGGAAATGTATCTGGGTATTGCGTGGTCAACATAAAATAGTTTGAAGCTTTTTGGACCCTCTAATTATCCGAGCCATATCAGTCTGCGTTACTTCAAGGTTTAATTGATGACATTTTAACATCATAAAAGTCTGAAATGTGTCTCCTAAGTATTTAACAAAATCAAGAGACCCGTCTGATATCGTCCGGTAGAGGATACATTCTGATTTCACCAACATTAGAGACCATTAACACACACCATGAATTAAACTTCAAAGAACTATTTACATTACAAAGTAAACTGTAGTCGCGGAGTGATTTGTTACTCCCTGAATGTCGTGTGGCGCCCGTCAACGCTGCGAGAAAGTAGCGCTTTAGAAAGCGCCCCCTAGCAACACTGCCATTGGTCGATGAGGACGGAATATTAATACAGCTAGCTGGAAAATTGGAAGAAGGCTTCCTTAGAAACCGATATGATACAGCATTGAGTACAATAATCTTGAAGTAGCTTCAAACAATCGATTCCAAGCCTACGAGTTATTATTGGCTGAGAATATCTCAATATTGTCAGGCTTCTTGAGATGTTTTTAATCAGACACGAGAAATCTCTCCATAAATGCACAAAAGACGTGTCTTCAAGATCTGAAATTAGCTGATCAGTTTACACTCCTTAAGCAGACGACATGAAAAAGAGCGGTAATACAAAGGGCCTAATCAAGCATAATGGTAGTTGTGTGCATGCAATGACTTGTGATCGAAAGCATATGATTTTCATGTGGTCAGTTAATGAATCTAGCGATTATTGGCCATTACTGTCCATTAGTTTCAAGACGGATCAATGGTTCTCAGCCGTATGCGAAACAAATGAGTTTTGTATTGACCAAAGGCCAGCGTAGTATAGTACGGAGTCATAAATATGAACATGTTCATAAAATGTCAAAACTAATTTAATAACCAAGCATATTTTGTCTGTTTCAGATCACCCAATTGAAAATAGACCATAATCCATTTGCAAAAGGTTTTCGTGATACTGGCAGTGGCAGAAGAGAGAAAAAGTAAGGCGCTTTACTTGATCAAATTGACATCATATCCGAAATGGCTTTATTTGATTTACTTATTCATTCCTCTGCTCCGGGTCGCGACATTTCCAAACGAGATTTGACAAGACACGCGCAATTTGATTCACATTTTCTGTTTGAAGTGTGCTGTTCTGTTTCATTAATCGAGTTTGGTATCATTTTTTCCCTGGTCATAAGTCTTGATTTTCAATTCACTCCCATTCAAATCGATCCCTAACTTAATTTCAGGTCTCTAGGACCCTTCTTGCGTGTTTTGCGAGTCACGCTTCAGTTTTCGACAAAAGAACATAAACGCTGATTAGGTAGTGACGAGCAAATGATTGCAATTTAAAGCGCAATTTATCCCGAATTGGCGATGAAATTCCGTTTCATGGTAATCATTTCTCCCCAGAATTTGTGTAAATCAGCATCTGATTGAAGTGTTTTATTCACTTTGGCCGTAATCAGAGAAATATTTGAAAGCGCCTATTATGATGCTCAAAAGTTAATGGACGCTTTGTAAACGCTTAACCAGATATTTAGACGCTTCCTAAGACACGAAATTTAGAACTTAGAGTGAAGTTAAGGCACTTACTTAATTTCGGTTTAGATAATGGAATAATTTAGAAAACGCAAAGCTTCCACAGAAACTGATCGTTGCAATTTCCGGTTTGTGGAAAATTACGACAACCGACTTCCAGCACAAAAATAGAAATTGTTAAGCGTTGAAGTAATGCTGTTTAAACTGTTGCAATAAGTCGTCTTATACTTAATACTTAAAAACCGTGAATATTAAACTAGATATGATGTCATAATATATATACATTATACTTCAAAACTGAAATATTTATACTTCGCAACAACAGCAAAATTGCACTTAGATTAGATATACAACCAGAGGTATAAAAATGTAAAAGTTTTTGACCATAAATTAAAAGATTATCTGTATGAAAGTGATCAAGTGTATGTTAATGTCGTACTTAGTAGCGGGCTTCAAACAGTCTCAAGTCGCCCTCCTTTTGAAATCCAAATCACCTTAGCAGACAGTCTATGTTTACATAGAAGCGACAAATTTCCAATGTTTTATACCCATGTCCGTCGCACAGGAGTAAAATATTCATGTTTAAAGGGGTGAAAATGATGTTCATATTTACTTTGATATGACTGTTATCAAACAGTTTTGTCGTCTGTAGTTATTCGTCTCGCGCTCATGAATTTTTGTCTAACGCTGAATCTCTGCTGTTTTAATAATTGAGTGGCATCGCAGACGACTTCCGCGCGCGGAAATTCTTCCTCCAACATAAAAAGTAAACATCTTTAGACTTAAGCAAAACAGGAAAAATAATGTTTGGCAATGAAATCACCACATTTTATAAACATTATTTTTAGAGGATCTAAATGTGCCGAAATTTAAAATAAAGTTTGACACAATTTACATTTATCTTTTATAGACTTACATGTATATATTTTTAAATGTTACAGTGATGAAACCTCCATTTATCATAAGAACTATTTTTTACGTTTTATTATATAAAAAACCCAATATTTTTATAGCTGTGTATCTGGTCATTCTAATTTAATATGTTGTTTTTATGTTAGCATCCAATTAAAAAAAATAAACAAAACTTTAATTTTGTGTTGCAGACGACTTATGCTGCAGTCACATCACCAACAGCAACAAAGCTGTCACAGTACAGACGAGCAGACGATAAGCGAGCGTGCCAGTGACACTGCTCACAGTGACGACGAGGATAATGAAATTTGTGTCGTAGAAACAGACGACAAACCATGTAGCTCAGACGATTCATATACCCACCTTACTTCCGGTAAGTTTCTTACTTCCGCTTCTGCTGTTTAATTCTAAAAAAAAATTTCACGTGAAACTTCATCAATGATTCATTCATTTTTATGCAAATCTAAATATTTACTTAAGAAATCATACAAAAAAGATATAATGGAGGGAAAATAAATGATAAACCGGATTAATTCCGGTCATGAAATATGGAAAATATACATAAAAACCCAAACTGAATACAGAGTATGTTATCTTTGTTTATAAATAAACCACACACTTCTAAGTGTTATAAAAGTATAATTTTGTAACTTGTTAGGAAGGCAAGCGAAGACGTTCGTCTCTATTAGCATTAACGCGAGTGCTTTGAAAAGATCGACTTTAAGGGAAAAGTAAACACATCTATTTCATGCTAGACTTTTTACCCACTAAGGGAAAACATTTGAAAAAGCGTGTTTACACACAACTTCGATTTCATCACTTAAGAGAATAAATTCTTTACAAATTTACTAAATATGTAAATCACTAATACAAAAGAAAATGTACTTTTTTCTCAAATACTCTTGAAAATACATGTATATTATTCAAAATATAATTAAAATTAATATATATATATAAATATCTAAATTAATATTAAATTGACCTTAAAAGTGCATTCATTAAAACTATGACTTTAAGAACACACTAAACTATAATTGATTGTATTTTCTTCCCCTTTTTAGTTTGTAAAAAAACATTCCCCCTTTTGGAGTGTTTTTCTCTCTCGTCATTTTGTCTCCTTTAACATTTTAGTGTCACCAAGTATCTCATCATTACATGATCAAGATCACATTTGTGATTCATTATCATTCATTCATTCATTTCATCATTCATCCACAAGCCCATGTTTTTATGTCCGCATCGTCTGAGGTGAAAATATACCGACGCATTTAATATCTTTATAATGTGTATTGTTTTTTAAAGTGACACCATTGGCCTTTTTATTGTTTTACGTGAACTCCGTGCTGTTTTCAGTGAATATTTTGACTTCACCCTTTACTTTTAAAAATCATATATAAGTAGTTCATATAAATCTAAATAAAGATGCAGTAAGAATGATAAAAAAGTATCGATATTTCCTTTTTAAATGATAGAAAAACTGCTTGAAAACGTCACAGGAATCAAGTTTGCACATTTCCTGGCCTAATAGAGAGAATCGCGCCCTCAAATCTAAGATAATATGTATCGTTCTCACTCAGTTTATGAGACCACCAACGTTGAAAACAGTGAGACAGTTCACAGTTGAACAAATCGCCAGGCCCGTTAGACATCTAGATAAGTGAAAATTAACATTGCAAATTTTCTACTCTAACGCCTTTTATACCTACCACGATAAATCAATGTTAATCATTCGTCACTCTTTTCCCCCCTCTCCTTTCTCTCTCCTACGAAATTTATTACTTCACTTTAATCATTTCACGTCAGTTCTGTTTTAAAAATAAGAAGTTGTATATATATGTTACTTAAAAACAACGACAAAGCACTGAAAACGATCGTAGATGCCAAAATTTCAATATAAAAATGTCCATCTAATTACAACAACAATTTTAATCTTAATGTCCCAATTAGAAATCGAATTTCGTGTAGTATAAACTGAGATATGGTTTTATCTAAGTTTCACATCGAAATAAACCGTCGCCCGTGTTTATACACCATTAATTGAAACGTATTGTACAGACATGGAGACGTTATGTTAGCCTCCATTCAGTTTAATTCATATTGCGGGAGTTTTTTCATAAATTTCGAGCCAATTTACAATATCGTTATTATTCTCAAATATACCCAGTAGCTAAATCTTCACTTAGAGGTGGCAAGGAGGTGTTTTTATTTGATAACAATTTTCATAAAACGGTGGGTGGTATGCAGCCCTCAGCCAAAAACTTTCACAATTTCAGATTTCTGATAGCTACCGATATTTGGCTGGGTGATGAATTAACGAAAACTTACAAATTATACAGGATAGACGCGTTTCTATAAGCCTCAAGCATTATTTAATGATATTTTGTTTAAAAACGTTTAAATCATTACACTAAGCTAGGCAAGAAATACAGCTATTATTTCACATGCTTCGAGTCTGTTTAGTCTGTTAGTTGTAAACATTTTATTACTAATGTTTTTCTTTGTTTATTTACGTGTCCTTAGATAACATTATATCCAGCTCGTATTAAAATTTTCTCCCATCCCATTTGCCAGAATCATCCGTATGCATTTCCTGTCGCAAGACGACATTGATATTACTTTACAAGCTTTCGGTACGACCATTAGACTATACCCATCTCATCTATGCCAACTTCCGTTAAGTCACGTGGTAATGATGGCGACTGATATTTCGTGATATTATCAGCCCGACAATGTAACCGTCAGTAAGAATTATAGTAGATCTGATTGACTTAAACCTCCATCGTTTTATCCGTATCTCTAGGGAGAACAAGTAAATAATTTTGCAAGCCAATAGAAATAGTTTTCAGCACTCATAGTGCCAGCCTGGAATCTCTTTGAATTTTTAGACTTTGTTGTATAGTAACTAGTCTGTGATGGAGGGTTGGGCCTCTTAGGAATTATGATTTGTGACTTTTTGATAAACAAGTCATATATTTGCCAATATCAAACGTTTACTGCCACAGCACACGACTCTGGTATGTCTAATACCCATGTATGCACACATTTACAACATGCTTTGCACATTATGAATTCCTAGATCAAAAGTCAGCCGACAAATAGATGTATAGCGAGTACTTTAAGTACACGTTAATTGTTTCTTCTGTGCATAAATCAAAAGTGCAAAAAGTCTTGCAAATCTTGTGAGGGATTATCAAGTACATAACCATAAGACTGGTCAAAAGTTTTACTGTCGTTTGGTCACACTAAATTAGCAATTCTGCGGTTAATTTTTTGTCACCATTTAGACTGGACCACAAACCACAAAGAATGCAATGCCCACTTAGTAAATATGTAAATTTTCTGACCACCAACCTACTTCTCGTATCATTTCACATGAAATGTAGACTTGATAGGATTTTACTAAACATGGGGATTATTTTGTATGTATCCTGTTAAAGTGGCACCTCTCTTGTCACTTGATTGTAGTAAACTTTCTTTCTTTATCTTCGCTATCATTAACAAACTCATGCGAACTACGAAAGTTTTCAATCAAAGTCAGATAAAACGACTTAAGAATGGATAAAATTGATAAAATTTACACCAGTGTTCCTTAGTATAGTCTATATTAACATTAGCTTTTATCTTATGTAGCATTCAAAAATCCCTGTCACATTTGAATTTATCGTCGTGGGTTGAATAACGCACTAATACCAATGGCTTAAGCTGGAGTCGTTTGATATAATTGGAACGATCTTTTAATGCAAACTTGATTCTTACGTTAAGAACTGTAGCAAACACTTGGATAATAGAAACGAAAGTTTCAGAAATTCGTTTTGAATTCACACCTCCGCCAGGCGTCAAAAGTCTGTTAGCATGTATGCCAAATTTCAGTAACGTTTCAAGATTAAACAGAACGTTTAATCTTCTATATTCACCATTATGAGATTTCGTTTTCGTTCTGGGTGAAATGAATGCACCGACGTTAATTTATTTCAATGAAAGTCTGATAAACTTGGACTTATTAATAATTTGAAATTGTAAAAATGAGGGCACACAATAACAGAATTAGGTGTATCGTGACAGAAGATTAAACGAGGACAAAACTTTGTAATATGCAATTTAGCAATTAGTGACACCGTGCTAAAACTTTGTGTGTGAAATTACACAGATTATTTATACAAAATTTCATAAAGATTTATCGACGTAATCGCCGCTTTACGTATCTGTTTATATATCAATAATTTTTATGATTCTCTAAAAGATTTGTCAACGGGGACGCCATTAAACTGCCATAAAAACTATCTACGTGTCGATGCTACTACACAAACCACACATTTTATTGGATGAACTGTTAAACACAATTGCTTTATTCGATTTTTCCTACCATAAAGCCAGTATTTAATCTTTATTTCTATTTTAAAAGTTGAAAAGATAATTAGCTTAAAATTGCCAGAACAATTTTTACGGTGTTAGATTGATAACTTAACAATTTTATTCTCACAAATTTTAGAAATTCGCATCCACGTGATCTGTCAGTGCATTTAATTTTCGGATCTTTTCGCTTCACTCCAATTAATTTTAATGATCATCCGGGAACCCGTCACCCATAATCCCTCGTTTTTGTTGCCATATTGAACGGGAGACTTTTATTTTGATGGGCGGTTTGTTGAGATCAACTCTGACAACATCATTCTATTGGCCATTTATTTGTTTCATTCAAGTTGAAGTTTGCAATGGGCACCCTTCACTTAAACTCTTCAGTCAGTAATGGACCATGCAATTATCGATTTTGTTCGGTTTATAATGCGGACGTTGCAGTGAATTGCGGGACCATTGTGATGACATTATAATTGTGATCTTTATGGGGTTTAAACCTCATTAATGTGACGGAGATAAGACGTTGAGTATCAAAGTTATTGCCTCGCACTTGCCATGTTAACCCAGGGCAAATTCTTTAAATTTAAACACAATATATTTCAAATCTGCCACACTATTATTGTACCAAGCTTTCATTTTGATAGATTGGTAAAGATGATATTCTTGGGGGCGACGTTATTTTCTTAAGCATTTTTTACACAGGACAATGTTTCGTTTTTTTACTGTTAAAAACCCATGTTATTCTTATTATTCAGATTAATGAATGAATAATATAAAGTTTAAAATAAGCATAGATATAGTATTGAAATATAAATTTTAGAACAAATAATTATAAAATGTTTTTATAACAAAAGTATTCTTAAATGTTTACAAATATAAATGAATAAGAATGCTTTAAAATATATGTAATGCAATATGTTTTATTTAAAATGAATACAAAATACTTTGAAAAACATTGATGATGATATGAAATTATTTTGTACATGGTAATAAAAATATCAAAACAGCAATTTCATAGATATAATAATAACGCTTATAATAATGCTACAAATAATTATAATGATTAAAATGGTGATAAAAATAATAATAAAGATATATATAACAGCAATTAATAACAACAATGTTGATAATAAAAATATTAGTAAAAATACTCATATCAATGCTAAAATTAATGCAAATAATAATGCTCATAATAATACTTATTATTTTGATGTCATAATAATGACAAACATGCTTATAATAATAATAATAATAATAAAAATAATAATAAAAATAATAATGATAATAATAATAAAATGATGATGATAATAATAATATATAATAATAATAATTATTATAATAATAATAATGAAAATGTAATTTAATAATCATGATGACCATGTCAATAATAATATATTTAATTGGTTATTATTTATATATTTCAGGCCCATCACCCGCAGACCTTACTAGTGCAAGAATTGACCATAGACTGGACACCACAAAGTCAAACACAAGTCACGATGACTCAGAATCCGAATCAGACGATAAACACGAGAATTCTATGGAACACAGTCACGAACCGGTGTTTACGTCACCAATCAAATCCACGTTTCCAAGAAAAATTAGTGAAAGTGACTTTGTGAGCAGTTTTGATCGTAATAAATCACCGGAAATTCACAGCCATACTAGTAACCCGGCACTTCAACCTTCCACCTCTAGTCCTATTGACTTAAATAAAAATAGCGAGGATGGTGATCGGCACAGCCCTTATCACCGTGAGCCAAAGGACAGGAGTCCATTTTGTTCTGATAGTGAAGAAAATGTACAGCATAGAAGTTATTCAGATAGAAATGATAGTGACAATGAAAAGTCCCCGGAAAGATTAGATCACGGTTGTGAAACTGCTACAAGTAGACTGTTAATGAAAGAACATACAAGTCCACCAAATGTAACGGTTGTTCAGCCATCAGTAACACATCCAATGTTTCCGTATTTCTATCCCCATGGTTACCCGAGTACTACATCATCACTTCCATATCACATGTTGTTAAATCAAGGCAGTTCGTCATTGGCTGCTCATGGACTTTATCTCCCTACGTCACATGGAGAGCTCAATCATTTATCGCCGACTCATGGTTTGTCGGCATTCGGTCAAATACCAATGCCAGGACATCCACTTTATCCAAATCTATCACCTACATTTAGTAGCAGTGCGTCTAATTCACTATCTGGTTCACATCTAGGAACATTGTTTGCTTCTAGATCAAACAACCGATTTTCACCATATTCGTTCCCAATGACAAAAACTACAATGGCAACAAGTACGTCACCACTGACGTCATCAGGATATAACCATGGTCCAAGGTCACCAACATCACCTACAGCCACACAATCTAGTCTAGGAAGTCTTAGCCGACCTTCACCTGTTAGAAGCAGAAGTCCTATACACACAGCTCCCTCATCAAACCCTAACAGTGAACTTAAAAGTATAGAGCGCATGCTCAGTGGGTTAGAACGAAAGCGAGAGGTTGGCCCTGATTCAACCGGTGCAATAGTTGAAAAATGACCAGTTGGACATAGTTTAAATACTTACCTATCCGCGAAATGGAAATTATCATTGCGCCAAGATTTGGTGACAAGCAATAGAAATGGTGCAAATGCTGCCGGTAGTGCTTCGGTTAAAAAATAACATTACGTCATAAGTGACGTCAAAATGGGAGTGTACCAGAAGTGTCTCAGTTTACCAAAGTACAATTTCATCAGCATTATATAGATGTTGTAACATATATCATCTTTCAATGAGAAACACTTTCAAATATGTGTTCTAATGCCATTGTTCATATTTATATAAGATGATGTGTATGTGACGTCATCATGATCAAAACGTCATGGCTACACGTGAGAAGGAACTGCTTTAATTAGCCAGATATTTCTTGTTATTTATTATGAAGATGTTGTGTTATTGTATGGTAGCATTTTATGAAATATTTTGTACAGATATATTTAAAGATTTTATATATAATGAGGGCTACGTGCAAAGGTTAAGATGTTACTATAAATAGACATTCAAAGAGACATTTGAAATGTGAACGAAAAAAATGGACGTGCATGGCTATTTATAGAAACACATAACATTTTTAATGGCAGGGAGTTTTCATTCACTGTAAAAAAAAACAAGAAAAGAATTTAAAAAGAAATTAATTATTTTTCTCTCAAGAAGAAATTAGAAACTCAAAATGTGCTTTGGTCAGAAGGTTTGAACCTTTCTGACAAGAACTAAAACGGAAGTAGCATGTGTGTTCTTATATTAATGAAAACATTTTTTTTTATTATTTTTTTAATTATTTAATTTTACCAGAATTTTTCTCCATTTTATCCAAATAAATATTTCGAAAGGTGCTTAAGAATAGAGTTGGATACAGGGTCACTACTATAGAAACCGTTTTCTGTAGCTTTTACTTTTTACCCCCTAGTCACATAGAGTTGTTTTAGCAATGATAAAAGTTTGTTGAAAGTAGTAGCAGTTGAATGAAATTTATATTATTAAAAGTTTTCTTTTCAAAATTGAATTTTAATCACTTGGGTCTATATTTTGGATGTTTTTTTATTATTATTTTTATTTTAGAAAGTAGAACAATAAAATAAGTGAATTCATTTCATATATTTTCACGTAATAGAATTAATAAATATGGCAACTGCATTTTTGTGTATGTAATATTCATGTTATTTTAATTTTTTTTAAAGAATGTAATTCACTAAGCTACAATAAAAGAATCAAAACAAAGGATACCATTTAATCTAAGCTACCCAATTAAAAATTTAAAAAATCTGCCTAAAGTTTTGATGAATCATTATCTACTTTTTTATGTAAATGAACTTTTTTATTTTAATTGAGATAATTTACAAATGATGTTCAGTTATGATGGGGCTGATATAAGCTTCATAAAATTGTAAGGATAATTGATCGATGATTTTTAAAAAAAAAGAAATATTGTTTTAAATTGTGTGAATAATTGTTACATGTATATTAATTGTTTAAACTCGTTGTGCTATTTGTCTATTTTGAAGATTTGTCGAATGTACATACGCACTATGTGAACAGACTGAAATAAAACACATAAAACTTACATTTTATTCTTTTTTAATTATTTATTTTATATTTATTTATTTTTACTATCTGGTTGTAATGATTACTGGCTTAGAGCAACGTTTTCTTGTCCTGGACAGAAATATCCCGTAATATTTCTCTCAGAGTAATTACCTCCTCTTAGATACTTAAGCCCTTAAAATACGCATTATTACCCTTGAATTCATACATATTTACTTCCTCTTAAAAGAAGAATTACCACGCCTTCGATGAACATTTTATTCGTCCCAGTTTCGTACCGCTTTTCGTTTATGAAGCAAGTCTTTTGAAATATCTAGAGGTCTGAGGCATCAATGTCTTGTAATCATAAATATTAAAAACTGTTGTACTTCGATAAAAACAACAACAACAACAACAACAAAACAACAACAACAGAGAAACATTCCGTCGTCTGCTTTATATTCTTTGACATGTACACATTTGTGAAATGTGACAAACCACTACAATGTGAAGTTTAACACACAAATTATTCATTTTTCAAAAACCTTTTATTTTATTCATTAAATAAAGCAGTTACATATAAACTGTTCTAAGCTATTTATTTTTAGGCTTCTGAAACAAAGAGAAAAATAAAACAATAACGAAAAAAAAAACTACAAATAGTTAATAAGTATATTTGTTAAACTGTTTCCGTGTTTTGGACTTCTGAATTATGTAAAAGAAAGAAGACACTTTTCAAATGATAACTTTTATTAACTTCTGCCAACAAATTTATTTCCATTTATAAAGGTGCACTTAATAATTAAACCTTATGTCCGAAAACGCCACTCAAAAGAGAGTTTTATAGAGTGTAAAAAAGTGAAATATATATAGTTTTTGTTAATTCATGGCAAAAATATCATTGCAACAAACAACAGAAATGACACTTTCATCCCTTAGATGTATTGAAAACAAGAAATGGTGATGTATGAATCATGAACGACATCAATCTACGGTTAAAACAAAAAAATCACAGACAAGAATCTCTGTCTTGTATTTTTTTGATTAATGCATCAACATTTAGTTTTGAAATCACAGGTCAGGTGCGAAATGTCTTATCACCAACCGGAAACGCAGATGCGCATGTCCACTGCAATGCACATATTTTGCATAGTTATAAAGTCAAAACATTTAAAACAAAAAAATAAAATGTCAAAATGGAGAAGAAAAAAGAACGCGGAGGCGTTATATTCAGCGAACAATGCACTAACTTATATACAAAATACAAGGACAGCATATCTTATAGAACAGTACTGAAATCAACTGAAACATAATTTCTGACTTTTGCGAGATCGAGTCCTGTTGGCTCAAACCAACTTTACAAAACGTCTTACAGATGAATCTCTAGACCACTCTAGCAATATCCTAGCAATATCCTAAATGAATATAAATCCTAGGGATTCTCAGTGTAGGGGGAGTGGCAATGAGATCCAGGCCACATCAATAAGTGTATTCTACGGCTGTAGATCAGTAATAAGACAAGGTTGTATAGTATGATACAATCAAAGGTTACTAAGACACGCCACATTACTAGAATATCATACCAATTCAAAGGAAATGCGAAAGTGTTCAAGGATTTCAGTTTCTTTCTATAAAAGTATTGCTACTTTTTTGTATTAGAACTTTTGTTATTATCCCAGAAACAACATTATTTTAGAGGAAGAATGTTTTTGAAACATGGAATGATGTGCCTATGTTATGTAAATTCCAATATCATTGAATTACCACGCGCGAGACGGGCTAATATTAAAAGCGTCTACGCAGAAAAAATAAAATAGCCGAACAATAAGTTTTAGAATACGTCATGTGCTGTGACTGCGTTTCTCAGCGAGTTAATAAAATTGATTAGAACCGGCGAAGATAAAAGGTAATTCAAATGCATTTTAAAGCAGTCGGTTAAGAATATTTGCTTAACTAATAGTGAAGATAATATCAGTAATGCGTTCTTCACGAAATAAATAATATATGAAATTAAAATAAAAAGCACGGAACAGCAAATGGGTTGTACCAACGTATTATAAACAACATTCCCTACTGCGTGTACCTATCTATCTATTACTGTGAATGACAACACTTATGAAAGAAAGAAAAAAAAGCAACAGAAAGGAGGGAGCTAGAAAACATAAAATATTAGTTTAGAATTTGTCATTCGTGGAAGAACTGAATTCTACAACAATTTTAAAATTCAATCGTTGTAAAAGACAAAACATCAATTAATTAATGGCGACAAGTTTGATATGATCGATACTGTATGTCTAACTATAAATGGTTTATGACCGAACAACATAAAAGAGATAAAATAAGTCTTTGGTACGGAGGTAAATGAATCGCATTCACTAGCCTTTATTCAACCTTGAACTTCAGGTAATTGCAACCACAGAACGGATCGTGTAGAAAACCAAGAAGGTGCGTTTCACAGGAGTACATATCTAAAATGTAGGAAATGAACGACCTTAAAGGCCCATTATGCCTCAGCAATGCTATTATGTTTTCTTCTGACAAACTTTTGTATTTTTGGTCTCCTGATAAAGTTTCCGAGCAGTAACTCATCGGCCAATTACCTGAACCATCATTTGCCACTGTTAACTTTTGCAATTAGCATAGTCTTATTGATTTAGTATTTTGTATGGAAGTAAAATACTTTGTTTTGGTACTTTTATGACAAATAATTTCACTTTCAGTGGTATTTTGCACAGGTGATAAACATTTAACAAGCTTTAAGACCATGTTTTACATGCTAAAAATCTAATTCTTGCCCTTTCTAATGAAAAAGAAATCGTTTCTAAAGCATAATTTGCCTTTAATATAAGACATAATAGTTATTGAAATCTTCATTCACAATACGTAAACGTCTTCAATTCGGCCGTCGTTGTTTCCGTTAACATAAAATAACATATACACTACAAGAAAAGTAACAACTTCTCCACAAGGACCCGTATCGAACAAAGGACATAATGAGATCAATCATTTTAAATTGTGTTCGGGAATATTAAGTCAAGGATTCGAACCCTGCACACCTTTCTCTATGAATTTGATTGGGTGGACAGAAACGCATTATGTACGTTTCATGATTATTTCCCGTTCCCTGTCTGCTGTTGGTAAAACCTGAACTCGTTCACTTTCTGAAAATAATTTATTTATCTCATTAACATCGTAACTTCCTTTTGTAAATTTCATTTACAACCCCTGTCTGGCCCCTACCATTGTATGTAAAGATTTGATCCCCTGTACTTCACATAAGGCGCCATGGTAAAATATGACCCCTTTGAACGTTAGGCTTCTAAATTTGTTTCACTAAGACAATCTCTTATATAATATGTGTTTAATGTATTTTATGTTTGTTATAATGTGTTTTAAATAACATTTTGATAAAACGGTGCCGTAAATAACCGTAAGCAGTGAAAACTTTGAAATTGAAATGTTGAAATGTCGAGGGCCTCCGCATATAAAGAGCTCTTCAGAAGCATAACGTTTACTATTTGAGCCGCGTCACGACAAAACCAACATAGTGGGTTTGCGACCAGCATGGATCCAGACCAGCCTGCGCATCCGCGCAGTCTGATCAGGATCCATGCTGTTCGCTTACTAACTCTATTACAAGTAGAGAAACTAATAGCGAACAGCATGGATCCTGATCAGACTGCGCGGATGCGCACTATGTTGGTTTTGTCATGACGCGGCTCATTTGACGTCTTTTTTTTTTGCGGCCATGATGGCTATGTACTTCCAGATCCCAAGTTTACAAACACGAAAACTCCGTGCATAAATCTCTCACGAGTCATTAGACGCATTCAAGTGTTCTCGACATGTTATACCATTTTGAAATCCTCCATTTTAGTACAACAGCGACTAAGAGTCTTTGAGTGGTCCTTTTTAAAGTAAATACATAATATATCATTTTAAGTTGTTTTTCTTTCATAATAACTTTTCTATTTGTGGAAAGACCGCGATGAAAATGTAATATCTGTCATAATATGAGTTTTTAGTAACATGTCATTATATATAAAACCGCCTCAAACAATGTAACATGTAGCATCTATTTCAGTATCTTAAAAATCGAAGTTCTCTTTAAATAGCTCTCAGAGCTTATATTATTCCTAGATTCAAATGTCAAATAAACGGTCATACCCGTAAATAAAATAACCTTTTAGAATGTAATTACACTTTTGATGATAAGCATTTAAAAGCACACTTATGTGAAGAGTATATCAAACATTTTTACATGCATAAAAAAAAGAACGGCCAGCGTTTGATCACGTGATTTTTACGCACGAGCTAAAAATAAGCATTCTATTTTACCAGGATTTTTCTAAAAATGTATTTTATTTTTATACATACACGAACCTTTCCGTTGTTTCTTGTCACTTTTCGTTAAACAATGGCGTTACAGGCACGACAAAAAGCGCCATTATTACGGGTGGGT